CAAAATCTCGATGACGTAATTGTGGGATCGAAACCGCCCGCCTGACGACAATCGAGCGCGGCTCGTGGATTGGATACGAGAACTGCCTCAGCACTCGACTTCGGCTCGTGACAATCGATGCCTCGGCGGACACTCGGGTAGTGGATCGTGTCCAACCACAACGGTGATGAGAATAGCCGAACCCTAACACAGCCTGGAGCTCGGCGCGCGTTTTCTACTTTGTCAACCCCAGCGCGTGGCTATGATTAACGTTGGCAGCATTGCCCTTCCACTCAAAAACAAGTTGGTACGCCACTGTCTTCATACGCTCTCTGAGGCATTTTTTTTCCTTGTGTAACGGTCACATTGGTCATGCAGAAACTGCCTTCAGATATACTCGAAGCAAACATATGTATATGCATACAACAAACATATGTCGAGCGTGCTTCAAGCGTGTCCACAGACTTTCCTGTCATCATGTCCGCAGAGAAACTCCGTGCCTTTTATGCGATACATGAGCAGTGTAACAACGGTTTTACAAATGTTTTTGTTTTTTTTCTCCACATAAGCGCTACACTACGAACGCACCTGCAGAGATTGTGAAAGGAGCGGCACGGATGGCTCTTTAGTGTTGGTATCTGTCAAAGCGGTCATTGATTCTTCCAAGCGGTGCGAAAGACCCAACGCGGCCAGCTTGTATAAAACGGTTCGCGGAATGCAGAGCGACGACGCAAGGACGGCTGTGGGACGATTTTTTTTCGTTCTTCCTTAACCTCCGGATGGACCGAAGCCAAGGCACGCTCGCGTACGCATAGTCGGAAGTGTAGTGCTATGCGGATAATACCTTTGCATCTGATGGACGCTTTCCAAGAAGCGTTTTGCGCATGCGCCAGCTGTCTTCCCACCTAGCGCCCAGGGCTTGCGTTGGCATGCTGTGTAGAGCAACCGGGCTGCTGGCAGACGACAAGGACGTCGCGATTTCAGAGAAATCAGAGTTCCTAGACAGGCTCCCCGTAGGGGAGCCAGGGTTGCGAGTCTGTTGCCCACGCGCCATCGCGCCTCTATTCGCCGATTTCAATCATGTGACAAACAAAACTCCAGTGCTGTGTAGAGAAAGCCTCTGCAACGGCCGCTCTGCAGCTCCGCTAGCCGCTAACTAGCCACTAGCCAACTCCGCGGATGTTCTTTGCTTATGCATGAAGCCCTAGTCTATACCATCTATTCCTCTGAAATCCGTCGTCGTATGGGTGAAAAAATGTGTCCCATAAAGACCAAAGAACACTTTTGACTCCCGCGCCGGATGTATTAGCGCATTAACGCAAACATGGCGATAGCAATGTTCACATAAAAAAAGCGCTCACACAAACAGGTTTGCTTTTCGCTTCCGGTGCCATTAGATTATAGAACCATGGTATCCAAGTTAATTTAATATATAAAATATGTTTTTATTTGGGCTTATGGGAACGCTTGCTCTAAGTGTTAATAATTTACCAATTCTTCGAAGAAATGATCATAGACAGCAAGTCCTTTTCTTTAATTAAATTTCTGACATTTAGATTTTTTTTTTGATTGGATGACTAGTAACACGGTTACATAATCCGTGTCATAGTCCGTCGTAAATGCGTAACAGAAATTACCAAGCAAATAATGTATACTGGGCCTCAATGTCACAACCTCGACATTTGACGCGAGCAGGTGGAATTGCTGCAATAAAAATTTGCGATAATTAATCAGCATAGAAGCTCACAACGTAGCAGGGTTGTGCTTGTTCATGATACTGAATTCGCCGGGAAAAAAGTATACTGGGGAGTTTCTTCGCTCGCCGTGCTGCCTAACGCATTTTTTAAATACATCGACGACTGCAACTTTATAATCAAGTGTGATGTGGTCGCCAATAATGAAAACGGAAAAAAAGCGAGGGCAAAACCGCAAGCCGCATAAGTCGGAGCACGCAGCTCCTGGACGCGCGAAGAGTGTCTTTCCCGCGTAACTTTGGACTTCGGACGACGGCGTGTATAGCCAGAGGCTATCGCAACACGTTACTGACTCGCAGCCTATCAGATGACGGCGTCATCACATCGGAGCGCTTAGACACCAATCAGCAAGCGACGGAAGCTTTTATTTACGATTAGCCGTACACCGTACACCCTGTTCCGCTATACTGACTATTCTGTTGAGACGGGTTATAAGTTATAATAATGAAGCCAACGGGAATCGGAAATCACTTTGCTATATCCGCTATTTCGTTATAACCGACTTCGTTAGAGCCGCTCTCGACAGATGTATGAAGTCACTGGCAGCTAAATGAGTGCAGAATGTTGCCTAACATGTTCACTCGTTTTGTGACTGGTTTCTTCGGTGTTCTTGTGGGTTAATGCCGCGCGCAGTATCATTGGTTCCGGAACGAAATTAAGATTATCGGGGACACGTCACTCCCCGAGTTTCAAAATCTGCCAGTGACTAAAGTGATATGTGGGCTAACGCAAGTCATGTGGAGCCTGATTGATTCGATTAGGAGGATAGGGGTAGACATCGAGGCAGCTTGCTTTGAGGTCTACCCACTGTCCTTTCAATCGAGCCGGTGATCACTGCAGCCCCCTCCTCCCTCCCCCCCCCCCCCCCCCCCCCCCCTCCGCACTAGAAGCAAACAAGCTTGCGCTCCGCATAATAACGAGACAGAAAACACATGCAACAAACGCCGTGACGGAACGCTTAAAAGACGCGTCATTGGTCGGAGGGATCATACACGCGCGGCAGACAATGTGCCACGGGACATTCACGATACGTCATTGGCTAAACGTGCTCGTATATAGCTTCACCTGCGGGCCAAGTTGACGAAAAACGAAACATGATCAAACGCTCCTGGGCATGGCTTTTCCGACCGATAGGTTTTCCAAGTACCGATTTAGCGGTCGCGTGTATAAACGACCCGTCTTCGCGTGCGTAATGTTTTTCATTTTCAGCGGCCCAGAGGCCCAAAGTGGCAGTGAGGAAATGTGCTCGGCAATCGCGATGACTGCCTTCGGACAGTTGGTGAAACAAGCCAGAGAGAGAAAGAAAGAGAAAGAGAGAAAGCAGCCATTTTGACAAGACCTTGGCTTTTTTTTTTTTTTTTTTTTTTTTGCTGTTGTTTTGCGGAGGTCGAGCGAAGGCAGCGACTGTTTCAGAGAGTGATTCGCCTTCGGGGCGTAATCGCGTGGTTTAACGTCTTGGGGCTTTCGTGCAGTCTTTGCGACGCGATCATGCGAGACGTCCGATTTATTGGGGAAGTCCAAGCCAGTGGGTCTTTTCGAGAATACACACTTTCGTTCGCTCTAAATATACACTCGTTGTTGTTGTTGAAAAGACGCCTCGTGTGAAAGCGCAAAGGGCCTTTTTTTATTTATCGCGTCTGTCAGAGTTTCCGTGTTTGAAGTAGAGCGCTCTCATGGCGGCGGCGCTGTTGTTGATTGTTTGGACGACGCCCACAGTCTGTGTGTGTCGAATACGGTTAAGGCTCGTTTACACGTGACCGAGTGGTTCTTTACGATGAGAGGAAACACTGGCACACCGAAGCCACATATAGGGTGGCTCTGAAACAGTTATGGCCTGCGTGTAGACTATAGGTTTTGCATTAGACTGAATCTTTTTCTACTTTTTTTTTTTAGACCAAATCTGAGCACTCTTTGTGAGAAATGGTCGCTGATAACATTGTTGGAATGAATTCAAGCTCGCGGCGAAAAAAATGGACGGTTAAATAAAATGATAAATTTACCCGGATTAGAATTGTTCCGGGGCTTCGGAACTTATACGTATATAGAAGCTTTGGAGGTAGGGTCGCGCCGATGTGTTCTCTCGTGGTAAGCGGTACGACGCCGTTGCAACAGACACATTCGTATTTTAATAGAAATTTGTGAACCATTTTTAGTGGTTGTTAAGGATCGTGAGTAAAACATAAAATAAAGTTTCATGTTTGGAGGATTAGAGATCGGGGGGTTGGAGTACACTGAAATGAACTCTTCCTCTTACGAGGCGTCATATCGACGCTGGAGGTTGGCTACAGGTATTGCAAAATCGTTGTGATAAAGTTTATTGCAACAACTGCAGGATTCACGTCCACAGAAACAAAGCTAAAGTTAATACCCAACGTTATCCGGCGCACTGGGCACTGATAAGAAAGTTGGTTTGTGTGGAAGGTGCCTTTCCTAATGTGCATGATTTAAGCATCATTAAAAAAAAAAAAAAAAGTTAGTGAAATATATTTTCTTTAAATCAGATTAATTTGTAAATCGAATTAATTTCATTTAAATCACTTTCGCCATAAAGGGGTGATTTTTAATCTATGTCTTTTTTTTTTTTTAACATGACAGTTTGACTGTTCAGTCGGTCCGATCACTGAATACAACGCGGAAGAAAGAATTAATGTAAATTTAATGTACCGTTTGATTAACAGCTTTTTATTGAGTGAACTCCGCCATAGGAGGAAAAAAGAAGCTCGATATTTTTAGGCTAAGCTAGCCTTATTTGCATTTTATTTGCGTTCCAGTTTTTCAATAGGACGATACTTTTCTAGCGCTAGTTGCGTTCTTCCGCGTACTTATCTACTCGCTGTAGGGCGTTACGTAAAGAATGAGCGAAATGAATGGTAGAAAGAAATCTGAACGTTCCAATTTGCTCAGAAGTCCGTGGGTTTGAACTCGTACTCAACATGACATAAATCTTTCTTGCTTAATAAATCCTTGATTTAAATACAAAAAAAAAAAATGCAAGTAGAGAGCATCAAATGGTAGACAAACGGTAAATAAAAATATATATTTATATTCTTGGGATTATTTTTGCGGGAAAGGTTTGACTGAAATTATCATAGTAAAACCGGTCTCGTTTAAATCACGATTTGAATCCTCCTGATTTTTATCTTTCACCCTGTTCAAGCGTAGGCAACAAGGACTGTCAGGTTTGGGAACGTTTTCTTGCACGGCCGTAACTCCGCCCATCGTACCATCGTTGCCCTTGTCGAGAAAAAAGTTGGGATACAAACTCACCGCTGTAGCTGTCCGGAATGACCAGGGCCGGACCCGCGAGGCTGAGTCCAGGACTCCGTACGTCGGGACTGAGACTCCGAGCGTGGACCTTGCGGCACTTGTACGCCTTGTACAGGACCAAGGGCTGACTCAGATCGAGACTGGACGGAGACTGCACCCTCTCCTGGATGCGCACCACTTGGGGCAGCGGCACCCGTCGCACGAACTCGCGCGGTGGTAGTCCCATTGGACACCAGGAGTCTGGGGTTCCACCGGTGTTGGAGCTGAGAGACATGGATGACTTGACGGTGGATATTTCCAATGGCTTAAGTTATAGCTATCTTACTTAGTTCTTAATTCGTGTAGCTTGGACAATACAAACTCCACGATGACCTACGGAGATCTTCTTATGGTTCGAAGCGAGCTTATGTGGTTTGATGACTGGTCTACACCAGTTTAGACGCAGTAGGCCTTCAGAGGCGTTGGAAGGTTACTAGAGGACAATGTTCCCACACTTCTTTGCACCACATGTTGTTGAGTTGAAGCTAACAGCTTTTGTTCTTCTTTTAAGCGTAGTCCTGTGAAAATCGGAAGCTTACCTTCCGAAAGTTTTTGCGGGTTTTCTGGTAACTACAAGTGCACCACTGAGAGAATGTGGAAGTGTTTTTACGATGCCGTATAAACAACACTAGCAACAACGAGAACGTGCCCTTTGAAGGAACCTCCTCTAACGTTTACGTCTTTTATTTATTACAAATCCTTGGGCTTCGTCAGTGTCAGGAAACGTGATTAATCAATTCCTCGCGGTCTTTTCCGGATCAGGTATCCCTGGGGCAACCGCCGATTTCAAGGGTAAGCTCCTGGCAAAGTCGTCTTGGCTAAACGCGGTCTACCTTCGCTTCCGTCGACTTAATTAAGGGCTTCGCCTTGTGGTCTTATCTTCGCGATCCTGCGTTGGGCGCAAAACAACAAATCAATAAGGAACAAGTAGAGCAAATGATTCAACACCTCGCCCTTGATGATCAGTTGGCGTAAACGAAGGATGCCGGCGAGTCTTGCGAGATCGCTTTTGTCCCTTGAGATATGAGTAACGGACGAGACTGAACCTGAAGAGTTCTTGTTCTAGGAAGACGTCCCTGTGGTTGTCTCTAAGCGCCGGACGTTGACCTTAGGGAAAGACAAACGCGCTTTTACCAGCTTTACTCTACAGTTGACGAAAAGGCTGCAGAAGACGTCTCTTCCTGGAGTCCTTTCATCCGGAGTCAGGAAGCCGGTACGGCGATGCACCCGCGCTTACGAAGACGCGCTTGCCGGCTACAATCGGGCGTGATTGTGTGGCCGATCTGTGGTGAAACCGGGCACCGTCTTTGACGGGTACGGCTCCTAGTCGTTTCCGGCCTCCCAAACTGGCACCGCGAAGGTCTCACTTCCGTGCCGGGCTCCAGGTGTCCCATAAAGGCTATGCTCCGGTGACACGGTCCTCGACACGTCCTCACACTGGCGAAGGAAGGAGCGGGCGAAAAAGCAAAATCAACAAGCCGCTCTTCAGCGATCGTCACTCGGTTACGCTCCACTGGCACCAGCCCGTGGAACGCGGTAGTTCTTGTACCTGTCCGGGTGTCTTTCTATGGTGCTTTATGTAGTTTTTCTTTTTATTATTGTGGAAGTGATCCGTGGCTTCGGTGACGTCTCGAAACTGGACCACGAAGAGTCCGGGATGTACTCCTGGCTCCCGTGGGATATTTATTGACAGCCCAAGCTGCCTTTTACGCTTGTGTTTTCTCGTTCTTTATCTTGTCGGTTTCGGTTCAGAGCGCCGATGTTCCGTGCACCGTCCTTCTGGCATAGACTCCGCAGTTGGCGACTGATGTGACCACTTGGTTCAGCCCTGAAAATAGGAGAGAAAAAACAAAATCAAAATGAGCTCAAAGTCAGGCAGAAGACAGAAGGAGGAAAAGCAGTAAAGCTGTTTGAACTTAATACGCTTAAGGAGTATTGTCGCGCTTTGAGATTGTTCTATTTAGAGGTTTTAAGATCCAGGATGTCTGCCTTGTGGAAATGTTAATCGGGTCTAGCGGTGGTGGGTAGCCGCAGTTTAGGGTGCTTCGCTGTCGCCACTTGTTGTAACGCATTTATTTCTTTTTTTTTTTACAGACTCAACTTGCACCTAGGAGGCCAGTTTTTTGTGTACTCTGTTATCTGAAGCGGCGAAAACCCCGTGGGAATGCAACTGATCCTTTCGAAACAGCTGTAATCCTCAAGACTAATCGCGAGTAAATACCGGTGTTGGGTAAATATCTTCAGCTTTAAGAGAGTAGAGGTGGCTAACTGAATCCTTCAAATGTAAAAAAAAAGAAGAAAACCTACTTATGACCTGTTCTTTTTCGCAGAAGCCCTGATGCGTGACAGTTGCCGCGATCATAGGAGCGGTGCTTCACACCAGTGCAACAGAGACGACCACTGCAAACAGGGCAGACCACCTAATAATTGGTCTTGAACATTGACTACGCGATATTCTAACAATGTGAACATGTCGACGCGTAATTCAGCTATAGATACGTCATCTTTTCATGTTTTAACAGGGTGATTTAATGCCTCAGATTAAATGACTGCATCGAAGGAGCGCATGACGCAATGTCAGGTTTTGCCATGTGTACGTTTGGACTGAGAAAAAGCTGCTGGTATCACTGGGAAGAGAGAGAATTTTAATCAAGCAGGTTTGTAATGTTTTTGCCTCGAAAAGTTGGTGATGGTGGATTCAGCACGTAGTCTTTGTATATATAAGAAAAAACGTGGATAGTACTTACAAGCATGAGTATGCTAAGGTATATTTCTACAACAAACTGCAATTACAATGCCAGTTTCAAATTCGAAGAATACCCGACATACCCCACCCACACAATGGATCAATAACCACCCATCTAAACAGAAACTGTTCCGGTCACCAAACTGTTATCGAGCAATAATCTCGAAAACATAGAAATGCATCCTTTGCAAGAAAACAAAAACTAAATATTTGCCATACACATGTTTATGTGGCAAGAAAAGTGTATATTAGTATGCTTCTTGTTTTAGTAGTGTGCTGGGAGTGTGTATGTGCTCTGTTGCTTCCGCGAACTGAATTCGGCTGCTAATGTCTAGGCGCTCAACGTATATTCTGATATAAATATGTTGTAGATACATAGTGAAAACAAAGCATGTGAATCTTGTTAATGTACTTAAAAGAACATAAACGTCATGATAACTCATATATAACTTACAATCTATATAAGTTCTGATATGTTTATTGGGGAAATTATATAAACCCTTTCCCTTCGTTCTGAATTGGGAACTCGAGATATATTTGAAATGTATATATTTCCGAGTTAAATCTTTTTTTTTGCATGAAATTGCACATTCAGTTTTCTTTTAGTATCTTGCTTTTGTCCGAAGACAACGAAGTTTAATTGCTTAACTCAGTGTTCAGTTACCCTGTCGTGACTGATAAACTCACTACTGCGTCCTGCAGAGGCTAACTGCAAGCTCCAGCAAACGAGGGTTACAGTTTTTGGGACTACGGTCCTCGTCACACGGTGCGGACAGTTACCCAGAATATTCTGACGCCAGAAGAAGCCAACCGCATGAGATCCGGCAGCAACCACAGCTTAATATAATTACGCAACAACCGTCGTAAATTTCCGTAGCAAAAAAAAAAGAAAGAAAAGAAAGTCCAACGGCGGGCAAGATTAGCAAGCTTGTAATGGATTCCGCGGTGTGGAAATTACGACAGACTCCGTAATAACTACAGAGAAAAGGTTGTGTACCCCTTAATCAATAACCTCTCTAGACTCCGACGTATAAAACCATAAAATTCTAATACGCATAAAAATAAAAAAAATAAAAAAAAACATAAAATTTATGTTGCATACGCTTTCACTACAACAAATGTCCACAGGCAAAATCGCACGGAACACTCTAAACCACCTCGCTCTCCTTTCTCTCTCTCTCTCCACATATATATATATATATATATATATATATATATATAAATCGGAAGTATGTGTAAATAAAGGCGCTGAAAGACCGTGCATGCACCGAACATCTGAGGTCATTACTTTCGGTTCAGGACCATCGCGGTGTCCCTTTCCCACTTATTCAAACCTCCTCTTTTTTGTCGTCTGCTTTTTTTTTAATGTTTCTGGCGTTTCTGGTTTTTACGCGCAACCTTCCGAGATTTATTGGGATCAAGGATTGAGGAAGAAGATCGTCGCGCGTAATTACTACGCTCTTCGGTGCCTCCTTGTTTTCCCGGCCCGTGCTGTGAGAAGGAGACGCCCCGGTTTTGTGCGTGTGCACGCCCCTGACTGGCTCGTTCCGGCTCGCCACGCGTTAACGATTATTGCGCGACGTAGTTGGGCTCTTTATGTCCGCAGTTTTCTTCTTCTTTTTTTCTCGAAGTTTTGTTGCTCCTTCTTACTCTCCAGTTGTTGATATTTGTGTGCGGTTGTGTATGCGTGTGTGTTGTCGTTGTTCTCGTTCATGGGGTTGCTTCATTTGCGTTCCGCCGAGGTCCGTTTGTGTGAGCGTGTGTTGTTTATGCTACGCTACCTCTCGCTATGAATCGCGGAGACAGCCACGAGCCAATCAGGCGTTGTAAACGAGTCACGTGACCGCGCAAACCCGCACGTCGTTGTGCCGATATTCGGAATGTCACGTGACATTCAGACGTCATCAAATTGGCTCGCAACGGTCGCTGCGCCCCACCGTAAGGTGAAATTGACTATAGTACACACGCGGTTACGCAAGTCCCGCTGCAAAACATTAAGAGTGAAAACAAGCCGACCAGTCTGATATACAAATAAACGAGAAGCGTTTTTCTTTCTTTTGTATGTGTGTTTGTCGTTTACTATGTCTCAACGGGGGCGATCTTGAGGGGGGTATCCACTTAAAAAAGAACCTATACTCCTTCGGACCGAACCGTCCACATTGGGGATTTTTTCTTTCTTTTTGTATCTTGCACGTGTATTTCTTGTGGGATAGTGCTTATAGAGGCCGATGCTTGGCCAAGCGAATGTCTTTATTTCCTAGGGAGAAGAGATGAGACAGTTCGCGAAAGAGGCTGTACCTCGTTATAAAGATGGCGAAATCAGCCGCTAGATGAGAACGACCGGGCATCGATAAAAGGCGATATATCGCTGGAAAGGGAAAGTGATGTGGTGAAATGAGGAGGACGCCGTGTAGTTCGGGGCGCCCCACAATAGTTTCGTACGGTGTGCGGCTAAGCGGGTTAACCGCCCATTGACAGCACGTTGATTTGTTCCGCTTTATCGAACAATTAGGCAATTGATGTACGTTCATTCTTAGACGTGACTCGCGAGCTTGCGGGCATCGTACATTCATTTTGTTTGAGGTACTGGTAAACGTTATGCACAATTTACGTTTGTGCGATCTTTTTTTTTTTTTTGTTCTAATTTACCGGCAGATAAAAAAAAAACAAAAACATTACATATATAATAGAAAGACGGAAGTGACGTCAAACGCCTCGAAGAGTATCTTCGACAAGATTGCTCATCAAAATAAATGAAAACGATGGTCAAATTCCGCTTTCTACATTATTTAGAGGCGAATAAATATTTTATCCGCGTCGATATACAGCAATTTATTAGCGTGTCGTTATAGCGCTATACGGTGCAACGTCTAATTATATATATATATATATATATATATATATATATATATATATAAGATTGGGAGTTGTACGTTAAACAGACGAATACTGTACGTTGTTATGCTACAGTTCTTGACATGTTAAGAAACACAGAGAGTGGCTCTGTGATCGCTTTGTGATTGGTTCTTTGACGTTCTTATCGGCTAATCTCTCATTCTGACTGGGTTGCGGAGCAATGACGAGGTGCTTGGGATTCATCGCGTCAGTGCCTTTTACTACATATATATATATATACATGACGATCCAAAGGGGTGCCGATCAATTGCAGTGCCAAAAGTGCACCGTCACGCCGCTCCTCGCATTTGTACCTTTGCTCATCTCCGACTATATCCCAATCACGCACCAAAAAAAAGCAAAAAAGCGCGCGCAAAATTGAGGCGCGTTTTTCCGGGGCCCTACCCTGGACACTTGGTGGGAAATTCGGCGAGAAATCTGGCGGGCGTGATTGGCCAACGTCGCACTTGACCTTGGCGCCGGCCAATCAGAGCCGCGGGATTTCTCGCCGACTTTTTCGCCAAGCGTCCAGATTAGGGCCCCTGTACGGGAAGTTGGTTTATAGCCGGAGATAGGCAAACGCACAACATGCTACGAGCGGCGTGACGGTGCACCTTTGGCGCTGCAACTGATTGGCTCCGTCGTATCGTGTGTATATAATGCCGTCTGCGTTCGGTCTTGAGTCGCAGTCACACGGTTCGCACACCACACAAAAGACGAGGGTGTTTCTCCGCAGACATTGACGACAGAGATATCTGCGGACATGTGCCTCGAGAATGTTCCAAAGCACGGTGAGCTTCATAAGTGCGCGTGCTTCACACACATCTGCATACAGTGGGCAGTTTTAGGGAACCGTTTTCGCACATCCGATACGGTACAATAAGCACCTCCGGCACGAACTGCGCATGCGCGAGTCATCGGCGGCAGCGCATGCGCAGTTCGTACCGGAAAGACCATCGTATACCATATTGGATTCAGGCACGTAGCCAGGGGGGGGGGTCCCATGGGGCATGCCCGCCCCTCCCCCGAAATCTCCGATTTTGCTGGGACCTCCTCTCCGTCCTCCCCCTCATACAGCATTTTGTCATGGGCGGCCCCCCCCCCCCCCCCCCCTTCCCCCCCCCGAAAGAAAATCCTGGTTACGTGCCTGTCGGATGTGCAAAAACGGTTTCCCTAAAACTCTCTCT